AGATAGATGGATAGATAGATAGATAGAGAGAGAGAGAGAGAGAGAGAGAGAGAGAGAGAGAGAGAGAGAGAGAAAGAGAGAGATAACATTTCACTGAGATATTCCACTAAATTCAACGCAGTGATTATACGATTGTAAGGAGGCGCACGTGAAGCGTCTTTCCGTCGATATGTGTAGCCTGGCGTGAATCGCGGTGTCGGAGAGGAAAAGGAGACGGAAACTACAGAGGCGAGTGCCGCTACTGACGATCGAATTGTTCAATTCGTGTTTCATCAAAAAGCGCGCATTCCAAGTGACCGTTTCCTCTTCCGACCGTTACTACGTCGCACTACTAAACGTCTCGAGCGCGAAATCCACGTCGTCGCATCACAATCATGACATAGCTCTTGCCAACGCGTAGCAGGAACAAGCACCGTCCTCTTTCCCCATCGGCAAACACCACGGTGCAGATACTATTACCTCTCCACATCGGCACGCCAAGGATCGGTATGACACGTTGTATCTGGGCGTTCGCACGTCCGACGAGGTTCTCCCTCATGTTCATCTCTGATTGTCTTGACTAATCTGATCAACTTGGCCTTGATCCAACATTTTGGTTTGATTGCTGGCGTCCAACGTCGGGGAGTCGTCAGTGCTCAGGCCAACTCGTACTGGCGACGGACTGTCGACCGGCCGGAAGGAAAAACTAGGCGAATCCGCGCCCGACAATGACTCAGGAGTACCGACGGAGCTGACACTTGGAAGAGGACTCGTCAGCGTGTCTATCCTGTGACAGAAATTGCGTTTTATACATGTTCAGTTTGGTTTCTTTAAACTAAGAAAGAGATTATTCAACAGATGACATTCAATCGAATGACTAACTACGGACTAAACGAATCGTAGTGTTACTGCAAAAATTTACCTGGATGTAACCGACGTCAATAAGCCGGAAGTACGTTTCGCAGGCGGTTGCAAATGGCTGCCAGTCTCGTCCAACTCGAATTTCCTTTTTACTGGTCCCAGACAGCTCGGCCTTATCGCGATTGGACTCAAGCTGCGCCTGTGTACATGTTCAGTAAAATATTAATATAGAATATAGCAATGAATAAGAGAGATAAAAGTACGAATCTCCGGACATTCTTATAGGGTTTTACTCTTTAAATATGAATATTTTAACACAAAATTATATATATTAAATATTTGTATATATATATTTTTTTATGTTTGAAAAAGTTGAAATATTCGTATTGACGTATTTAAAGATCAAAACAATAAAAATATTCGTATTTAAAGATCAAAATAAAAACGTCCAGGATGCCCGCGGATTGATACTATTATCTTAAAAACAGAAAAAAACAAGAATATTCATGAGAATAATAATAATATAAGAAATTAACATAAATATTCATATTGACATGATATAAATAAGAAATGTTGCAGCAGTTATAAAGCTCCAAATAATATGTATTCCTCTCTCACCACAGATGTTTGATACAATAGTGATCTTCTCAGAGAATTTAAAGTTTCAAAGGAAGTATATCGCTGTACTAAATTATACCTCGTGGCGAAAGATTTCCTCGTGGGGCTAGGACTGCTCTTCCAATTAACCATCATGAAGCTTGGAGAATAACACTTCTGACCGAGGCCAGATCTTGTGGGTGATGGCGAGGAACACAATGGCGAGCCGGTGATGGACAAATTCAGACTCAGGGGGTCTAATGGCCTCTTGATGGGCTTGCTCAGTTGCTGCATAGGAGACTCCGAGTCCTTAAACGACAATCCCTCAGCCTCCAGCGTCAGATCTTCCCAAGACTGCGATATCTGCATGGCACTATGAATTTCCCTTTCGTGCGCCGCTTCCCGGCCGGCGATGTCCACGGACTCCTCCTGTCTCAATTGACTTATGCGCGGTGTCAATCTAGGAACATTACCAAAGCTCTAAAAATAAAAAGAGATAAAGATAAAAAATCGTTCACGAGTAAAATCCCGCATATTGCTAATTGGAAAAAATTGTCGCAGCACGAGATAAACCACTTGCTACTGATCACGTTATTGCAATAATATCAGTGTGAATTTAATCTAACTGCAAATGTCTCGTCACAGGAAACAAATGGCTCACATTTGCTGGTGTGATAAAAGAAGCTCTGATAATAACTAATCCACACTGTATGGTCATACTGATTGATAAATGATAAAATATAGCTATGAAAAAGAATACGATCTTACACTGGTGCTGAAGCGTCGTGTACGAGGTGAATTAGAAAATATATTGCAAGAGACGGCATCCCTGAAAGAGAAACATATACATGTACACAAAAAGAAGTCCCTTTCTATGGATCAATTAATTTAATTTTAGTTTGTCAAGCTCTTTGAGTGGGCAATGTCTCTGTTATCCACTTATGAGAGCAAATTAGTCATCCTGATGACAGATCATAGTTGTCACTACAATAATGTAACATCCAGATTGTCAGAAAGATTCTACAGAAATTACAACTCATTCTGATGTTGTAAATTTAATAGAATTAACGCTATCTTTAGAGATATACTCTTTCAGCCTGAAAGACAGATAAAGGCAGCAGAGTTGTACCTGGACGAGGAAGTAGATGGTGTGGACATGGCTGAAGTCATTTGGTTGATCATCGGCGCGCTACTGGATCTTTTCAGGCTGAGCATTGGACAATCAACGTCCATGATTTCCGGAATGTCCAGCGATCTCGTGTCTCTTGAGGCGTGTGTGTACAGCCTCCACGTAGAACTGGCACATGGGAGATCCCGTAACGTGGATATCACGAGAATACCTGACGAGCACGGGGTGTGTGGCGGCGGCGGCAGCGACAACGCTGACGACGTCGTCGTCGTCGTAGTTGTCGTGACCGCGTTCGGATTTATCTCCGCCAACAACTACTTGTCTCGCCCGGGTTCTCGCGCAAATTCGCCAAGCTGCAATCACTACGTCGTTGCTCGGTTCGTTGTAGTGAGCGAGGAGTTCGTTACCCGGATTGAACGATCATCGTAAGCCACGACGAGCAGGAGGTGAATGGAGATGGACCTGCGGAATTGTGATATGAAGTTCGCACTCGTGCAGCGAACGAGCGAGCATGAGACAACGACGCGATCAATTTGACAAGTTTTATGCGACGGTGCTGGACAAGTGAGGCACTCCTAAAAGAGCTCGGTAAAGCGGGCGAGTCCTCGCTGCTATCGATAATACGGACACCACCAGTCAGTCCTCTGGACGCCGTGCTCGTGCAGTCAACCGCGTGGGGGCGCGTTCGAAGTTCAGCCGGATTCGCGTGAGCGGCGACAGCGGCATGAGTCGCCAGACAAGCGTCACGATTGGTCGCTAGATCGCGACTTGGTTTATGGAGAATTCAGGCCTGACCACAGGGCTGCGTTCTAAAACTCTACTCAACGAGTAGCATTTAATTGGCTGCATTCAGTAGACTCAACAGTTGCACAACAGTTGAGTAATTTGTCAATGTAATTGGTCTAGATTTAGGGATCTAATAGCAAGAACCAATAATCGTTGATTGCTCACTGAGCGCTTTTTCTACTGAATGCGCCCATTGACCAATAAGAATAAAAATACTAGGATTTCTTTATCATGATTGGTCAATTAAATGCACGGTAATTGTTTAGAATAACTATCCTTATCTCTGATTTTGATGAAAATAGGCTTATTTGACGCGTTTTTACTAAAAATAAAAGAATCTGGCCGAAAAAAATGTCGCTCTGCCTCGCGAAGCGAGATATTTAGCGTTAAGGAACGTCTACATTGGAAGTAAATAGCAAGAAGTAGGAAGTAAGAGTAAGAAATTGACCAACCACAGTCGAATGTGAAAAGAATAATCAACTATGATTGGTCAATTTCTTATTCTTACTTCCTACTTCTTACTGCTTACTTCCAATGTAGACGTCCCTTAAAATGTCTTCTACAATGGCAGTAGGAGTAGTAGTAAGAAATAAGCAGTAAGTAAATAGACCAATTACAATCGATTATTTTTTGAAACGTAAGAATGGAATTGGTCAATTTACTTATTGCTTATTTCTTACTACTACTCCTACTGCCATTGTAGAAGACGCTTAAAGGGACGTCTACATTGGAAGTAAGCAGTAAGAAGTAGGAAGTAAGAATAAGAAATTGACCAATCATGGTTGATTATTCTTTTCACATTCGACTGTGGTTGGTCAATTTCTTACTCTTACTTCCTACTTCTTGCTATTTACTTCCAATGTAGACGTCCTTTAACGCTAAATATCTCGTTTCGCGAGGCAGAGCGACATTTTTTCGGCCAGATTCTTTTATTTTTAGTAAAAACGCGTCGAATAAGCCTATTTTCACCAAAATCGGAGAGGAGAATAGTTATTCTAAACAATTACCAAATATACTCTACTCATATATGTAAGGCCCGATCTACAATAAATGGAGTAAGGAGTAGGAGTAGGAATAAGGAATAAGCAGTAAGCAAATTGACCAATTCCATTCTCACGTTTCAAAAATAATTGGTTGTGATTGGTCTGTTTACTTACTGCTTATTTCTTACTCCTACTCCTACTCCTTACTCCATCTATTGTAGATCGGGCCTAATACTACTATATGGCGCGTAGAGGAATTTTTACCATAAGAGAGAGTGAAAGAAGACTGAAAGATAGAAGATGGACGGTAATTGACTCACTAGAAAAGAATGGGGCAAGTGTTCTATGATCGCAGTGCATAAGCGTGGCGACGAAATGTAAACATATATACCGACTACGATTGCCGACTCCAGTCGGTCAATGCTAAAATGTAAAATTTATTTATATACGCTACTCAAAGATTACAATGCATATACTTTTAATATAGACTTACGATTAGCTACGATTCGAGTCGTCGACTCGAAAAATAGACTGAAGTCTAAATGCAAGACGGCCGATCCAGTCAGTCGATGCCTCACTATGATTGGAGGAATTACCCGTATATTTAGAAGATACAAAAAAAAACAATAATTTTGAAAGTAACATCGGAGATAAGAAAAAAGCTGCAGTAGGTAAGAAAAAAAGCACTTCGTGAGAAGTTATATTTGTGATCTTAGACTTTTTAGTAAAATTTATGTTACATAAACTATCTTGTAATTAATTTTCTGTAACGTAATTCCTACAGATGCAACCTTTTTGATCGAATTGGTAAAAAGTGAATATGAAAAACAAAACCAAAAGCAATGTGAAGAAATGTGGAATATTTTCACTTTCGTCTGTACTCGATAACTTGTCACAGTGTCTAACTTTCTTCAGATATCATATGCAGCACACAGAGAGTGCGTTCTGAAATGAGCAGTGCTTAAGCGTGCTAATGATTTCGGAACAGTGTTTACGCTCTCGGCACTGTGAATGCTGTGAGCGTTTTTCGGACCGCGGCCATATATAGCACTTGACAGCTTGACAGGGGTCATATTTTTTCTATACAATAGAATGAGAAAGCACTAGGAGCAAATCAACTTTCTCACTCTGTTTTAAACTGCCAACTTCCGTCTTCATTGGTTGCTACAGCAGAAGTATAGGAATTCTTGGTCTATGTATATACGTCATTAAAAAAGCAATCCGACGTCTTCGATCTACAATGCCAAACGCAGCTATTAGTGAGTCTTTAGTATAGACATGTGTGTCTCCGTTAGATCCGGGATTTTTTAAGGCTGAATTTGCACTTCGCGCGATATGCATATACAGAACACGATCCATTAGATGCTACAATTGCTTTGAAACGCCGTATGGACCAATTATAGCTCTTCTTTAAGCGCTTCAAAGCATTTGCAGTGTCTAACGAATGCACTCACAGTTGATTTATTCTTTGTAGCTAAACTACCTGCACTAGTTTTCTTTTTCTTTTTTCACACCAAGTTACAACTAAATATTTGTTTCTTTTTAAGTCCCAAAAACTAGTTTAGCTACAAAGAACGGACCTAATAATAAGTGTATTCGTTTTCGAAAAACTTTTAAACTAATGCAATAAAAATTAAAGAATCTGTTTTCTATTGCTGTGAACTGGCTGCACTATTTCTCTTTCATCTTTCTTCCACCAAATTTTATCTGTATGTCTTTTTTTAAGATCCGAAAGTGTACATTAGTTCAGCAATAGAAAATAGACCTAGAGTGAAAGAAAGTATATTTATTTCACTCTAACTTATTGCACTAGTGCACAAGTTTTTCGAAAACAAACAGACCTAGTGCAGAGATACTTTTAAAATTGTACCATATAAAATTACGAATGTATAAATGAGATGCGTTTCACCTGTGGTATCGCTCATACAAATTTACCATACTGCCTTTTCCTTATAATGTTATTTACAGTTAATGCGTGTAATGTTATACGTTAACAACGAAATAAAGCAATTTCGCGGCTCTCGAAAATGTCCCGCGATCAGCGCCCATTCAAAGGCAAGGAACGCGAGAGTTCGAAGGTACCGGCTAGGCGTTTGGACACACGTACCGATTCTTTTTATCCCCGGGGATCTTCTCCCGAATCCTCACCTCGCTCGACAATTTCGTTCGAGGAACTCGCGCGGCGGACGGAAGCCGCGAGAAAGCCCGACGGGTACAGTCATTTGATCCCGTTTACGCAAATGGCGTAGCGAAATCGCAACGGTACGTATGCGACGCAACGCGCGTACGCTCGTGCTGTCCTCCGAATCGCCGCGGTAGAGCCATCCTCGAGGGCGAAAGACTCGGACCGCAAGTCACGGCGAGCGGAAAGGGGCTCGTCCGATCGCCCGCCGCCTCTGCTCACACGGTTCGTCCGAGAAATTCGGTCTGTCTGTGTTCACGGTTCCCGGATCTCGCTGTGGCTTCTGCCACGCCAATCATCGACACAACGAGCGAACATAACCTCTGTCCCCGCCGACACCCAGTGAACGATGCTACCGTTTCTCGGTGTCGTGTGTCGTCGTGTCGTGTTCGAGCGACCACGACGATGACGACGACGATGACTTCGCGAAGATCGCGTCGGGCCTTTTGATCGCGTTAACGTGCATTAATCGTGCTGACTTTCTCCCTGACGTATATCGCGAGTCGAGGTTCCTAGTTTACGATTCGATTTGCGAATTAAGTTTACATTTGCTCTCAAGGAAACGCGGAAGTTGTACGAATACGGCAACGATGGTAAAAGCTATAATTCGCGTTTACATGAAAAAAGAGTGTCCCCTCGAGAGCCTTGACAATGGCTTAACCTGTATCGTTATAATGCAGGTTGTTAAACGCCGTTTCTATGATGGACGTGAGTACCGGAGACAACAACGACGATGTGTCGTTCCGTCTGGGAGAGATGTTTAACAGCTATGAGGAGTTGGAGCAGAAGCTGGAGAGATTCTCGAGATGCAGTCTGGTGCACTACTGGAGACGAGACAGTAGAACTGTCAGTGGGGCTCATATGAAGACAGCTCGGCCAATTAGTGAAAGACTCAAGTACTATTCTGTTAAATATGCGTGCATTTATGGAGGCCAGAAGTTCCTACCACGTGGTGCTGGAAGACGACAGTCTCAGTTAGTCTGAAACTTCTTTATATCACATATGATTTGATATTTAACTTTAATAATATAATGTTTAATATTGATATTTAATTTTGATTATATTTAATTAGTTAACATAATACACATGTGTACAGCTTCTACGATATAGCATTTTGTACATATCGATGTGTTGTACAGATCCATACGGACCAATTGTCCCGCTCATATCATGCTCAGGGCATCCAAAGATGGCACAAAATTAGAAGTAACTAGTGTCAACAATGAGCATAATCATGAAATCTCAGAGGTAATCACATAAATTTTCATTCATTATGCTATCTATTGGATATTCTATGAAACTACCAAGTACATTATAATTTCTTATATTATTCAATGTAACATTAAATCTTTTCACTGTAAAACAGGAACTATTTAAGAATCTTCCACAAGAGAGAAAGCTATGTGGTGAGATCAAGCAGGAGGTGCAAGATCTGATGCAGTTGCACATTGATCGTAAAAGACTGAAGGAGTATGTGCGATTGCGTACCAACAAAGTGCTACGATCCAAGGATTTATTTAACTTGGCAGCAGCTAATAAGCAAAAGAGAGACATTACGCCGGAACGGGCGTATCAGTTGTACAAGAAGATACACGACATCGAGAAAATGCAGGGTAGAGATAATAGCAAAAGGATATACTCCGAATCCGAGGACGAGATAGCGCAGACCATAAAAAGGATGAAGAAAGAGCAGGAATCTGCTTGGGGTCAAGATGTAAGGCTCTAATTGATCCACTGATATCTACTTGTCATGCAATTGTTGCAAAACTAAAATATCTCCCGTTTGAACTAATTCAAAAAATATATAAATAAAACAGAAAAACTACATGGCTCTAAAATTACAACAAAATTAAAAGATATAAAGGATAATGATGAGAGACAAAAGTACAGATATTATAATTTAACAAATATGTTTCGACCATGTGATGCGGTTCTCTTCAGTCGATTATTATAATGTTAATACATAATTAAATAAGTCGCAATCTGACATTAACATGTTGGACAATATTTACTTTCTTCTGCTGAATATGGTCCGCGATAAGCGGTTCTGATGTCGACCAATCTTTTCCTTATTTACAATTTTTTCATCTTTGATTATGTATCCAATTGGTTATATTATATAACACTTAGTTTTTGACAAGCCGCCTCTTGTTTTCTCTCTATTGATTCTACCTTTAAGCCAGTGTTTAGATTTGTTTTTGCACTCTAACCGTTTCTCCACGATTGTTACACGTGACTACAAAGTTTTTTTTACTGTCCGTGGACTGTTGGACGGACAGAACTCTCATTTTGATAATTCTATAGTGTCTGCGGTAAGAATTTTTTATTTCTAGCATGTATGCACTCCATCCGTTGGAGTTATTTTCATTGTGTTTTTTAATTTGTTTTTTTATTTTGGTCTCACGTAGCCTGCAAACACTGATGACAAACTTGAGAGTCTTCTTAAACATAATCAACACCGCGAAAAACACGAGAATATCGTAATCTAGTCGTATCGACTTATCTAATTATATATTGACATTATAATAATCGACTGAAGAGGACTGCATCACGTGGTTGAAACGTTTTTTCGTTAAATTTGTTAAATTATAAGTGTATTGTTAAATTATAAGTGTACAATATCTGCACTTTTGACTCTTCATTGTCCTTTATCTTTTAATTAATCTTTTAATTTTATCTCACGTTTTATATTTATACACGTTTAATATTTATCAGGGATTGTCAACGGAATTGGAAGTGAGCGAAGGAAACGACGGCGAGGACTCCTATGGTGGTCAATTGACGCAAGAGGAAGTGGCGGCTGAGATCGACACGAGCGAGGGTGAATTACTGCGAGCGAACAACGAGGGTGACATCATCGCGGCTAACGGGGAAATAGTGGGCGAATTAGTAATGGAGGATGGCGATCCGTCGGTGATAGTCGAATCTATCGTCAACACGGACGGCTCTGTGTTCGTCGATGGGAGGGAATTTAACAGTTACTGCAGCAATCATCTGACTCACACAGTGGACGAGAGTCAATCGCCGAAATCACGTGGTAAATTTCATATTGCATATAATATTTACTTATATCTATGTAAATGTCAAGATATATTGGGTTAGCACAAAAAGTTTGTCAAATAAAATAGAAAACGAAATTATCTGGTTCGAAGAATTAATAATTTTGTTGTATATCAAAGGCTCTTGAGGTATATAACTTTGCTAAATTAAGCAAAAGAAAAAGCTTATAAAAGACGAATTATAATCTTATCTTTCTCTTAATTATAATTTAATAATTTTAACGAATAAAATAAACATTAAATAGATATTCTTAGACATCTGAGAAGGACTTTCTATTTGCCTTTTGATATCTAAACTTCCTACAAGAATTTAATAGAAAAATAGCAAACCTTTTGCACTAATTTTATATATATATATATATATATATATATATATATACACTTTTCATTGATGTCATCGATGTACTAGTTCTAGATATAGAAACGATCGCACCTACTATTGAGGAAGTCACGAAGACGTCGCCCAATCATAAATCGCAGAATGATTCCTTGGCGTCGCCAAAATCGCCTGGCAGTTTTAACGAGGCCGACTCGAGAATCTGGATCGTAAAGGAGGGCGCGTCCGTGGAAACTGAGCCGGAAAGCGGACCCGAGAGCGAGACTAATTCGACGACTCAGCCAATTTCTATGATGAAGCCAGGTGCAGTGGATGATGTGCCCGAAATGATACTGTCCGACGAGACGAGCCACCAGCTACTTCAGGAGCAACTAGCGGTGTTACGTGCGGAGAGAGGGAAGCTGTTTCACGAGACTGAGATGCTGAAAATGAAGAAGGACAAGTTGAAGTTGCAAATCAATTGTTATTCGAACGAGATAAGCAAGCAGGAGATGGAAAAGGAGAAACTGAGGCTCGAAATTAAGCTGCTTCAGTCCAAAGTCATGGAAGACACCAACGATGTATCACACTACATCTTCGTGCCTTAAATTTCCCGACTGTTTGTACAAAATAACTGTAAATAATGTGTTTTATCGCTTTAATATCCCGTTGAAGTTACGTGTGTATATATTTGAACGCATACGTGCGTTTGTTATGACAGTCAGTTGCGAGATCGTTGCACAAGGTCTGTCGTCAGTTCACATTGCTAGCAATAATTGGATTTCCTTATTTATATCGAGAGGATATGTTCTTGTTGGTGATATGTGATAAACGATAAAATGTAGTAAATAAGACATCGCGCGTGTTACCTTTCCAGCCGATCAACGCTGAAACTTTCTTTTTTTTCCTTTATCGAATTTCACGTTTCATTATCTTCTAACTTGTGTAAAGTAAACGGAGGCGAGGGAGAGGGAGTGATGAATAATTGCGTATTATTGGTTTTATAATACATGATTTTATGAAAATGAGATGTAGCAGAATAACTGCGTTAAAGGATTCCATGCGTATTCCACACGAATGCTTCCTCATCACCAGCTACAAACTGTCGCAAATAAACACATTATTTTTATTATTTTACTTTTGTGTGTATGAATAATACTCCCAAACTGAACCTGCCACAATCTCTATTTTGCACCTTGAATTCAATCTCTAACTTTCAATTGAAGTTTCAATATCTCAGTCTTTTGCGCTGTAAATACAGAAAATTATAAGAAAAAACTGGGAAAATACAAATTTCTAGACACAACGTACCTATCCTAGATATTCATATTATTTTAGATATTCAGACTTTCAACACAAAAAAAAAAATATATATATATATATATTCAACTCATGGAATATTATATTATAAAAAAGATAAAATATATAGTATTAAATATATAGTAGAGAGAGAGAGAGAGAGAGAGAGAAAGTATAAGTGTGATATAAGTAGAGTATTTTTTATTTAAAAGTTTAAATATTAGTATTTGAAAGCCAAAACAACTAGAATGTCCAGGGTTATGTACGTCCAGGCATTGGTATTTTTACTTTATCTCGTGTCAGTTTCCGCGTTTTCACGAATGCGAATGCAGAAAAGAATATCCGTGCAATGAAGGTTCGAAAATCGAAGCTTACCAAGACGAGATGCATGCCGGATTCTAATATGCCGCCGCCATGACCCCCACCCCCACGATAGGACACAGCTGTGACAGATGGCAGCAGGGACACTGTCCTTGGGTTTTTCGTCAAATCCTCATTCCTTCGGATCGGTCAACGCTCACCGGATCGTACGAAAGTACTGTAGTTTGCTTATTGAATTCTCCGAACATACGACGTCATGCTGAAGCCCCTGCTGCTTCTGTGCTGGACTGCGATATTCGTGTCAGGTAACGATTCGACCTTGCTGAGCGCATCGTGAGCTCACTGTCGCAGGAGAGGCGGCAGCTGGTGCTGCGGAGTGTATACACACACACACACACATAACACGCGTAACGCAACGCCCGTTCGACTACGTAGACGATCGTCGTCGCCGTCGTCGATCTGGGAAACACGAGGAAATAAAAAAAACAACTCTGTGTTCCCGGAATCGTCGAACTTGTGTCAACGACGCTACCAGGTTCAGGAATTTTAATCGCGTTTCTGAGGGCCGAAGGCATCCAACGGCGCCATGATGAGGCGCGGATGGAAGCCGTTCCGCTTTTCTTTCGAACGACAATATCGCGGAAAATTTTCGGTTTTCATGCGCACGTCTCGCCTGGCTGCATGCTGATTCAACGCGGATGATTAATGACCAAGCGATAAGATCACTCGCGAGAGACGACACTGCGTGGCAACGAATGCCGGGAACACGGCTATCGGAGGGGAAGAGAAAATGTCAGATCGCGCATATTATATTACTTAAAATACGCGATAAAAATTCTCGTCCCTAAAAAGATCGCTTTGATACGTCAGAACTTAATCCGTCGTCGATGCTCCCAAGTTTCGCGAACAAAATGAATTTCGAATAATTAATCGGAAGACTGTAACGTGCATGTAAGATTGCCTCCATAATGTTGAAGTTCAGGTCTGTTTTTTTTTGCACACGTTGAACTTTGCTCTTCTTTGTTTAGCAGTTGACATTTCTTTTTTCGTATCAAGTAGCTTGAGGCCTGTTCTTTGTAATTGCACTGCTGAACTGGTGCAATATATTGAAGTGAGGCAAATATATGTTTTCTTACTCTACTAGTTTAGCAGTGCAGCTACAAAGAACAATTCTTTGGTTTCATTTAGATGTTGAGGACATGCAACATTATGGAGTATGTGTAGCAATACACATAAGATATTTAACAAAGTTTGCAAAAATATTAAAAATACACACATACATGCACACACACATGTTCTGCATACTTCAAAATTATTCAAGACAAATGATCTGGAAAAGTATCTCAATTTCAAAAGCATAATATAATTAATTTGTAATATAATTTGTTTTTGATGAAAGCTACCTTTACTATGATATGCTTCCTATGATAAAGCTTTTTCCCTAAATATTGATCTACAATATGCTCTTTGCTTCCTGTTTCTTTTCCTCTGTCTTTTTCATAATGTGTTTATTTGCTGTCTTGTTGATTATCTGTCTTTGACTTAAACCTGATCTATTGCTCTTTGCTTTCTATTTTTTCTTTTTTATCATTTTCTAACTAAAGGTTCGAGATTTAAGTCAGAAAAAGATAAAGAGAAAGAAACAGGAAGCAGAGAGCACATTGTAGATCAAGTTAGAGTTTGAGTCAAAAAAAAATGAAGAGAAAGAGAGAGGAAGCAAAAAGCATATTGTAGATCTAGACTAAAGCTCATTAATATGCAACCTTGACATTTCAACTTGTAACATCTCATACGATACATAAATATAATTATGCACATATGATTTTTTGACAGCTGGTGACCAGCAGATCGATGGTATCAATAGCACAGGTGTTTCTGTTGATTCGTCCCAAAAGAATGTAATAGGACAGCCTGAGTTGCTGTTAGATAACACTAAACCAGCCACCTCAAGCAGTGAACATGTGTCATCTGTTCAGAGCGAACCACTTTCAAATCCTCCAAAATTATCTGACTCCAGTCCAGATACAAAATTAAAAATGTCAGCCCCACTTGCTTCAAATGAAGATATACATGCCACGTCTATTATAAAAAATGCAAACACCTCAACTACTACAACTACTACAACTACAAGCACAACACCATCCAGTACAACTACATCGACTACTTCTACTACTACGACAACGACTGCTCCCACTACTACCACATCGGCGCCAACGACACCGGTTCCTCCACCAAGTATTAAAAAATGGATGGTTAGACAAGACAATAAAACCTGCATTATTGTCCAGATGGCTGCACAATTTAACTTCTCCTATACCGTCAACAATAAGGTAAATAATTTTAGGAACGAAATTGCGCAAACTTATCCAAAAAAGCGTCGCGAGTTTTATGCAAAATAACTAAATATTAATCGCGATACTGAACTGTTGTCGTAATCAATGTCAAGATACGCATAGACTATGTTGTCTGCGTCGCTATTCAATTCCACTGTGTTCACAGACGATCCAGAAGATGATGGACATACCCGGTACCGGCAACGGCACCGCGTCGGGAATATGCGGTGACGTCGAGCAAAATCTCACAGTATCGTGGGACGCGCAGAAGGACACGGATAATTTCACGCTGCATTTCGTGAAGAATGAGACGACCAAACATTACTCTCTTCATCATTTTGAGATCTCCCTTGCGCCGGAAGAATTCCCGGCCGACAAGTGGAGTACGGCCTCTTTTTGCATAAACAAATTTACTCTTTAATATCCTCGTTTTTTCTCTCTGATATTTTTGACCAAATTTGTTACTCTTTTGCAGATGAAACCGTGACGCTGATACATATGACACCACAATACGAGATCGGATTGAGCAATTCCTACAGATGTATAAAGGAGCAAAGGTTGAATTTATACATGAAGGATGTGAACGAAACCGTAGGACATCTGACGATATCTAAATTGCAATTCCAAGCCTTCAGGGGCGACAACAGCACTAGTTTTGGCCTAGGTGAGTGGCCTTGCTTTCCCGTTTAGTCCATTTAACGCCAGAGACCTAGTTCTCCTTCTTCTCCTTCCAAAGTACGGATGCACTCTCAATAACAGTATCTATCGTACGAGATGAATTTGCATGTTCTTTTTCTCTTTTTTAGCCAAAGACTGCGCATTCGAAACGCCCGACATCGTTCCCATAACAGTGGGTTGTGCACTGGCGGGTTTGGTAGTAATTGTACTAATCGCATACCTCGTCGGCCGTAGACGAAGTCAGGCCCGTGGTTACCTTAGCATGTAAGCTAAGCGAAAGTTCACGCGAGA